AAAAAAAATTTTTTTTTTTTTATTTTAGAGAGAGAGAGAGAGAGAGAGATTGAGAGCACGCGTGAGCGAGGGTCAGAGGGAGAGAGAGTGCAGCGTGCAGAGCCCAGAGCTGGGGCTCGAGCTCGCCCGAAGTCGGACTTGCGCTCACGCGATGCGGGGCTCGAACTCACGGACCGGGCGATCACGACCCGAGCCAAAGTCAGACGCTTAACAGACTGAGCCACCCAGGCGCCCCGACACGGTGACTCGCAAATGTCAGGTTCCACGTGTGGCTTGCACTCGGCGTGTGGGTTAGGTTTCTGCTGGACGGCGCTCTCTGGAGATCCAACCAGAGCTACGTGTGCTTGTTCCGTAGACACACGAGCACCTCTGAAAACACAAGAAGGCAGAGCGCCCGGGTGGCTCAGTCAGTTGAGCGTCCGATCTTGATTTCAGCTCGGGTGACGATCCCAGGGCCATGGGATCGAGCCCCGCGTTGGAAGCCTGCTTGAGATTCTCTCTTTCCCTCTGCCCCTCTCTCTCCCCCGCGCACACGCTCTCTCTCTCTCTCTCTCTCTCTCTCAGAAATAAACATAAAATCAATCAAATAAAAACACAAGAAGGCACTGTATGAGTGATGTAGAGCTGTAATACCTAATGACCACAGACTGTTGGGCTTAAAGCAACAGAACTGGATCCTCTCCTAGTCCTGGAGATCTGAAGTCAAGGCGTTGACTGGGTTGGTTCCTTCTGGAGGCTCTGAGGGGGAAACGCATCTCGTGGCTGTCTTCTGGTGGCTTCCGGCAAGCCTCGGCCTCCCCCGGCTTGTGGCCACATCGCTCCAATCTCTGCCTCCCGCTTCACCTGGCCTTTTCCTCCGTGTGTCTGAATCTCCCTCCGCTTTCCCTTACAGGGACACGGGTCATTGGACTCAGACTGAGCTCTGTGTCTATACATCTCTCCTACGATCACATTCACAAATACTGTAGGTTAGGACTCATATATTTTTTTTTTTCGGAGGACACTATTTAACACACTACAGACCTGTTATGTGGGCTACCGAAGGGTAGAGGTTGAACTACAAAGGGCGTGGGCTCTGTGGCCGTGTGATCCTGGGTTTGAGCCCTCCAGTCGCGGTCTCTTTGCTATGGTTGCTCCCTCCCAGGCGCTTCAGGAACCTTCTCTGGAAACTGGAGGTGATGTCGTTGTGGGTGCTTCCTCCAAAATGCTGTGACGAGACCACTTGTTAGTTCCGTAACTGAGTGAGTTACTCGACTGCTCTGTGTCTGAGTTTTCTCATCTGTAGAGTGGGAATAGTCAGTCGTAGTACCTACCTCAACAGGATGTCGAAGATCAGGTCAACATTCCCCCAGGCACATCGTGAACACTGTACAATGTTTTCTTTTTTCTTTTCTTTTGAAGTAATCTCTCCGCCCAGCGTGGGGCTCGAACTCATGGCCCCAAGATCAAGAGCCACACGCTCTACCGGCTGAGCCAGCCGGGCGCCCCTCTGCAAGTGTTGTTGTTGTTCGTGTCGTTATTTATGATAAAATGTTGTTCATGTTGTTATTGATAATAGAACGTTGGCATCATTTTCATTGGGCAGAGGTGATGAAATGTTCTATCAAGCTCTCGTGTTATCCTTTCTCTGGCTTCGATTCGGACCTGACTTCCTTACTCAGCTCATGTTGAATGACCCTGAGCACAGAATCAGGGCCAGTTCATGCAGCCACACGGGGTCCCGTGGGGCCAACTCACCAGCCCACTGTCAGCAGCCTGAAACTCCCGATAACGTTTGAAAAGGGACTTTGCGTTTTCATTTTGCGCGGGGCCCCACTGATTCTGTGGCCAGACCTGCTTGGAGTCACAACTCGTCCTGTGCTTGCAGCAGTGAGGGGTCTCCAGCGAGGGGTGGCGGTCCCCCTCTGGTCTCCGAGGGACCTTTACAAACTAGGTCGCGGCGGCTGGGAAAACACGGCGTCCGAGGATGAGCCCACTGGGGCTGTGTTTGTTTTGCCTGCAAGAGGAGATTTAGGGCTGACCTGGTGGTGTCCTCCAATTCCCAAGGCCTGTGGCGAGGAGAAGGGAGCATGCGTGTGCCCTGCGGCCCCGAAGGGGCAGTTCGGCTCAGCACAAGGAAGGAGATCTGAACGAGAGTTGTGCAAGAATGGAACAGCTGGCTTGCCTTCAAACCTCGGCTCTGCCTGCGGGGGTGGGGGTGGGGGGTTGCTGGTGAAGAAAGGAGGCTCTGGCTGCCGATAGCTTCACCTCTGCCCAGATCCGTGATCTTAGGGCAAAGTCATTCATAGCCCTGAGCCCGTTTTTCCACCGAGAACGCTGGCTGATCAGGCTCCATCATCCAGGGTGACAGCGCGAAAGATAAGACAAGGCAGGTGGATGCATGAATCACGGAAATGGTGCCTACCTCCTTGACAACAGCTGCTGTTGTTCTGGTTGATGTTTTATTATTACTATTATTATTATTAGTGGAAAGTAGTGAGTCCCCCCAGACTGGCAGGGTTCCAGTTGAGAGGGGCCATCAGGAGGTTGCAGACATGACCTCGCGTCAGAGCTGAAGGAGGGAGCACGCGCTCTGCCCCCTTAACGATGCCAGCTTCTGTCATATTTGGACGATTCGTGTAAAAGCCCACGGTTACAGGGGGCGCCTGGGTGGCTCAGGCGCTGAAGCGTCCGACTTCGGCTCAGGTCAGGATCTCACGGTCAGGGGTTCGAGCCCCGGGCCGGGCTCTGTGCTGATGGCTTGGAGCCTGGAGCCTGCTTCCGGATTCTGTGTCTCTCTCTCTCTCTCTCTCTCTCTCTCTCTGCCCCCTCCCCCGCCTCTCTAAGAAATAAATAATCATCGTAAGTAAAAAAAAATTAAAACCTGCAGTCATAAAATAGTGTTGTCCTTGTGACAAAGGCCCCCGGGGGAAACCCGGTGGCACTTCTTGTGAAACTGAGGAAGTTCGGGGTCCTGGGGGCCACCGGAAAGCCGGAGGGTTCCCATCATCGCTGTGTTTGAAAGCCCCGGCCCGCTGTCCCCTGAGCCATCGCTGGCTGAACTGGGATCCCAGGAATGCAAAACTCCCTTCCAGGGCCTCCTAGGAAGAGGCTTCCTGATGCGTCCGAGAGCCGGACACGGGAAATGCCCCTGCGGAGACAGCATCCGGGGGCGGTGCGCGTGCGTGGGCGCTGGCTGGACGCGTCCCCAGCCTGGTCACGGGAGGGTCTTGGCTGCGGCCTGATCCCGGAGCCTCTGCCCGGAGGACTGCCCCTTCTCTGCAAAGGTCTTGGCAGGGATTCGTGCCGAGACGAACATTTCCTCCCCTCCCTCCTCCCCCCTCCGCCTCTCCGGGCCGGTGGGGGGCGGCCCCCCCCCCCCCCCCCGCCCCCACAACGCATCCAGGAAATGCTCCTGCCTGACCGCAGCTCTGCGCATCAGTAACCGCATCTGAGGCCCGCGGTCAGGGGCCAACAGATGGGCTCCATCAAGGGCGGCGCTTGGTCGGAGCGTGAAGGGCCCCCCACGTGTGCTCCTCTGTGCGGCGACAGGAGAACGGACGGCCCGGGAACGCGCAGCGTGTCAGGCACACGTTCAGGTGGCCCGTCCCCCGACAAATACCTGCGAGGCCCAGCTCCTCGGACGCCACCCCGGGCGCCGTGTGTACGGCCGCGAAGAAGCCAGCAGCCCAGGTTTTTTTGTCCCCTTTTTCTTTCCAACGTACAGTGAATCAGTGTGGGGGACGCCTGTCTGGCGGGGTCGGTTGACTCTTGGTTTCGGCTCCGGTCATGATCCCAGGGTCGTGGGATGGAGCCCCGCGGTCGGGCTCCGCGCTGAGCCTGGACCCTGCTCAGGATTCTCTTCTCTCTCCCCCTTTCTCCGCCTCTGCCCTGCTCGAGCCCTGTCTTTCTCTCAAAAAAAAAAAAAAAAAAAAAAAAGTAACCATCTTGAAATGTACAGGTCAGTGGCACTAAGTAGGTTCACATTGTAGCGCAGCCATCATCATCGTCTCTAGAACTTCCCCGCCCTTCCGGAAGAAAGCCCGGTGCGCGTTAAATGGTCGTTCCTATTCGGCCTCCGTCTACTACACCCTGGCAGCCACCGATCCGCTTTCTGTCTCTAGGGATTTGCCCATTCTGGACATTTCTTATAAAGAGAAATCATATGATATGCAGTCTTTCGTGTCTCTGGCTCTTGGCACGATGCCTTCCGGGTTCGTCCACCTTGTGGCAGGTGTTAGTAAGTTCGTCCGTCTTAAGGCTGAACAATACTCCACTGCGTGGGTGAAGCCGCCGGGCTTTACAGCCGAGCAACCTTGCTTTCATCCTCACTCCCAAGAGGGGAAGAGCCCCCCGGGAGGTTCCTGACTTGCGGAAGCCTCCGGACAGGAGAGGAACCTTCCCTTGCGCATTACAGATCGCTGCCTCTTAAGGTGCTGACCGGTTCCCCTGGGCCACAGCCCACAGCCCACAGCCCCACAGCTAGAACAGCAAAGCATCGGTGGCAGGAACATCCCCCTGGATCCAAGCCCAGCTGTGAGACCCGGGGTGAGTATAACCGCCAATCTGGGCCTCAGGCCCCACATCTCTAAAATGGGTCTAATAGTCCTATCTCCCTCAGGAGGGTTAAATACGATGGCATCTGTGATTAGGCCAAGGTTGGGAATGAGAGCATTGCCCAGTGATTGATCCTCTGGCCGCCGCCCTATGTGACTGTCATCCTTAAGCAGAATGGTATCATCCTTCAAGGCCATCTTGGCTATCTCAGGAATGGGCTTAGGGGCCAGGCTGGCCTTGAGAGCCCAGGAAGCAGCCTGATCGTCCCCATTTATCCTTATGAGTAAACATCAGCTGCTGACCTAGGCTTCTTCCCTGGCTCTGTGCCTGTCGGGAGAGGCAGCCAGGCTCCCCCAGGGCATTCCAGGAAGTAGGCGGGCAGGAGTCAGGACCCTGAACCAAACTCTGGAGCTCTTCAGTTATCCGGGTCTGGACTCCTTTATTTATAAAGAAAGAAACCCCAATCAAGTGAGCTTAAATCAATTCAGTGAATTACAGTTGGGTCTATATGTCAGGCACGGGACCGGTGCTTGTGGCTCATCAGCAAACAGGACTGAGACCCCCCCCCCACCCTTCCCCCCCAGGAATCCGGGTGTTAGACAGTAAGGACAAGAAATAAATTGTATGGCGTGTCATTGAATGAAATGGGCCGTGGAAAGAACAGAGAAAACACAGGCAGCAAAATGGCCTCAGAAGTGGCTCGGGTGGGGGTGGGGCAGGCTGTGCAGTGGATTAATGCGGTGGTGGGAGCGGGGTGGGGAGCGGGGGTGGAGGAGGCGACACCTGAGCAAAGACTTGAAGGTGAAGTGTCAACACAGCCCATGTCCAGGGGAAGAGACTTCCAGGCAGAGGCCCCCACCAGAGTGAAGGCCGGGAGCAAGGACGGGGTGGCTAGGCTGACCGAGCGAGTGGGGGAGGAATCCAGAGAGAACCGGATGGAGACCAGATGGGACGGGGCCGTGGGCCACTGTCCAAACTTTGGCTTTTACTCTGAGCAAGACGGGAGCCACCGCAGTTTGGAGCCAAAGGCAAACGTGATTTGACTGATGTTTTGTTTAAGCGAAGAAGGAGACTCTTAAGACTCCCAGACCCGGGTGAGTCAGAGGTTGGGGCCTTGTTGCCCCCAGAATACAGGCCCCCTCCACGTGGGGAAGGCGGGGGGGTGGGTGGCGGATAGTTCCACGCAGCTTCAGGCTGCTGAGGCCCCAAGCCTCAGCCCTAGAGCCAACGGGGGTCTCCGGAGGGGGAGGTAACAATATAAACTCCCAGGGAAGCCTCTGATTGGCTCTGCCAGCTGCCGGGACCATTGGGATTGGCTTCCCTGGGTCACGTGGCCCACCCCGTTCCCAAGAAAGGGAGTACTGGGATTGGCTGCCCCACCAGCATTACAGTCCCTACGGTCCCTGAAAGGCAAGCTGCGCTTTCCCAGGGTTAGTTAGGAGAGAGCGGTGGTCCGACAGCTCTTCCGGGTCTTGTTCATTCTGCGAGGAGTTCAGGGGTCCCACCTGGAGCAGGGGGGAGGGGAGTGGAGCGGGAAGCTTCTGCCCCGGCAGGGCCCGCACGCAGCGCCATCGGAAAGCGCCGGCTAATCCGTGCGTTCGCACGGCACCCCTTCTCAAGGGTGGGGAGACGTGGCCGATGCCAGCCGGGACGACTACGGTGCAATAGAAATCTGACTCCGGTCGCTTGAGCCACAGTTCTTTCTCTTCCATCCCCTGGCCGGAGAACGTCCCGGCGCCTCTCACTGAGGTCAGGAACCAGCGGCAGGGGTGGGGCTGCTTCCTCCTCTCTCTCAAGCTCCTCTGAAGTCACAGACAATGAACCGGCCCAAGAGCTGGGTCTCTGATCCTCAGGAAATGCCGAGGAGGGCCAGCTGGAAGAAGCCACATGGGGGCTTGGACAAAGCAGCCCCTCTTTGCTCACCGTGACCAGAGACACGCGCGCGTGTGTGTGTGTGTGTGTGTGTGTGTGTTTAACCCAGCAAAGTCACCACTTAAGATACATCTCAGGGAATTTTTACATCTAGATTCACCGGTGTAACCACCACCCAGCGGTGATGTAAACACATTTCTGACCCCCAGGACGCCTCCTCCTGGGGGCCCCCCCCCCGGGGGTTTCGTCTTGCCTTCATTTTCAGGGAGGCGCTGCTGTAGTCCCCCCCACCTCCCGCGAGACAGGGGCACGTCTTTTGCAGGCAAAGAACCTGAGCTCCGAGAGAAGCGTCACCACCCTCACCACCACCACCAAGAACAAAACCGCAGCTTCCCCAGGCCGAGGGAGGCTTTAGGGAAATTCTTGGCGGGAAATCAGAGGAGACCTCGTCCCGTCTGCCAGGCCCTGGCTCGGCTGGCTCGTTCCCGCAGACGTGGAGGAGAAGTTTCCTACCGTGAAGTCATCAGGCCGCAGGGCTTCCCCACGAAGTCCCTCTTATTTTCGGCTCCAGGTGACGGTGGGTAACAATCCGCCCTTTGCCCACGCTGGTTTCTCTAGCCTCTGCTGGTGAGGTTTCTGTCTCGTTCCAGAAGCCCAAGCAGGGCCGAGCGTGCGGCCGCCCGCGCCAAGGATGGGCGGACGCCCAGGGTCCCCTCTTGGGCTGTGTCTGGTCCACGATTCCGGGGGTGGTGCAGACACCAGAGCCCAAAGCCCCAACTGAACTTGGCAAGAGAAAAGACAGCTGCTCCCACTGGTTTCTGCGCTCCAGGGGCGAGAAAGGCCGGCGTCGGCAGGCAGCAACCTTGCACGACTCCTTCCCTCAAACACCCAAGCAGAGATAACGTACAATGCAGGACGTCCCCTGTGTCCTCTGTCCCGTCCCTGATCGTGACTCGCCATGCATGGTGTGGGTCTGGGACGACCCCGGCTGGCAGCCCCATGTCCCAGAAACACGGGTGTCGGCTTCCAAGCACATCTTTTGTCCGGATGAAGGAAGGCTTGGCGCACAGCAAATGGACAAGCGATCGACCCCCACCCCCTACCCACTCCCCGCTCCAGCAGCAAGCACGGGCGCTTCCAAGAGCCTCCCTCCTGGCAAGCCAAGCGTTACCCCCATGTGGAGGAGGAGGAAACTGAGGCTCAGAAGCTCATACAGATGAGGGCTTCCTAGGTGCCCGGTGTTTAATAATTAGACACGACTCCCTTTCGTTGAAGACAAGGATTCGGAGGAGGAACCTGCTCGCCCGAGACCACACGGCTGCAGTCGCCAAGGGCTGGCTCTGGGACTCAACGTCAGCTGAGTCGGGCTCCGGAGCACATGGCCAGTGTCTCTGCCCTCTGGCCAGTCTTTTCTCTTGGTCTCTGCTGCTTTGGGGGCACAGCCCAGACGGACACCGCGGTCCCTTCGGGGCAGGCGCCAGGGCGGAGAAGGCACAGGACACTGAGGTTTCCCTCTTGCCCCCCTCCCCAGGGGACCCCCGAGCAAAGCGAGCGCAAAACTAAAGGCAAAAGATTCCTGCCTCTGCCGACGTCCGACTCTCCGTGCCAGCTCAGGTCGTGGGATGGATGGAGCTCGCGTCGGGCCCCGAGCGGACAGCTCACATCGGGATTCTCTCTCCCTCTCGCTCTGCTCCAGCCTGCTCCTTCTTGGCGCTCGCTCGCTCTCCCAAAATCAATAACTAAACGTAAAAAAAAAAAAAAAAAAATCAGAGTCACATCAAGGTAGGTACGACTGTGGTTCAAGCGTCCAGGCTGAGAGTGGGGACGGATGGCCCAGTTCTCCTGCCCGACACCCGTCCTGACCCGCGGGGACAGATACCAGAGCTATCGGCCACCTGTGGATGTCCCGCCAGGCGTCTGTCTTTGTCACACACACACACACACACACACACACACACCCTCCCAGAAGGCAGGCCCTGCCGGACGCCCCCATGTTACAGATGAGGAGACAGACTAGAACGCGTTTAAGGATTTGCCAGGGGAGGGGTGTCTGGGGCCGGAGGCTGAACAGGGGACACAGCTCAGCCCTGCGCCTCCCCCAGCATCTGGCCGCTGAGAGTGGGCGTGTGCTGTGTGCAGACAGGCCTCCTGGCGGGCTCTCCCCGCCTCCTCCAGCTCATAGAGACACAGCCACACGCGCCTGCTGCGGCCGCCTGCCCCAGAGCTCCCGCCTGCCCATGGAGATGCCTGCCCCTGTCCTGGCGTTGGTGAGAGGCCAGGCGCTGCCGGCCTTCCTGCTCTGCAGCACGCTGCTGGTCATCAAGATGTACGTGGTGGCCATCATCACGGGCCAAGTGAGGCTTCGGAAGAAGGTATGCTCCCCCTGGAGCACCCCCCCCCCCCTTCCCCGGCCCCAGCCCTGCTGGGAAACTGCAGGGATGGGAAACTTGGCCGAGGTGTTCTCAGGGCCAGAATGTGAGGGCCCTGGAGACCTTTGGGATGGCAGGACCCGCACCTTCTTGTCCTCTGTTGTAAGAGCGCTTACTCACCCCGCCGTGTCGCCAGGTAAGTTCTGGCACAACGGGTGCTGCTGAGCTCTGCTGGGTGTCTCAGAGAGAAGCAGGTCCCTGAGGGTGGAATGAGACAGCAAGAATGCCTCCATCAGACCTGGCAGCTTCCCAGCACAGGAGATCCGGAGATTTGGGTGGAGTGGGAACCGGCGACGCAGGAACCCCAGGAATTTTAAGTGGAAATTCCCAATTCGTTGGCGAGGGGGCTTACGAACGCATGGCAGCGTCCAGAGGCCAGGTCTCGGCCGGCCTGGGCTCCACTGGAATTTTCAAGGAGGAATTCCCCCCCCTTCCCCCCCGCCACCCCACCGATCCCAAGTCCCCGGAGCCAAAACAACAAAGAGGCTAAGATCGGAGCCTGGGTGGGCGGGACGGCCCATTCAGAACAGCTCGGCTCGCATTGGACACGACCAGAGTCAGAGAAGTTTTGGGCCAAGCCGGCCAGCTGTCCTGTTTTTCAGTACAGGACTCGTTTCCAGAAACCGTGGCCCCTTTGTCCGCCTTTGTCCAGTTCAAAGGGCAAGGCAAGGTTAGCTCTGGCATCACGTTGGCTGTGGACACCCAGGAGTGGGGGTCTTGCTGGGGAGTCGGGCTCAGCCCCTGGCATAGGCGCGGGCAGGGGTGAAGGCGGGACGGCTTTAACGCCCAGAGGCACAGACACAGGCACCCGGATGACCCCTGCCTCCTCCCTGCCTCACCCCGGTCCTGGATGCGGGATACGGGGAACCCAGCAGGGACAGGTGCATTCAGCCATTAAGTCCTTCCTTGGAGCTGAGCGTTTAATAGGTGGGGGCCACATTCACCTTGTCTTCCGGGAGAGGACACCTGTGAGGCCACACAGCAGGGTTTGAACGGGGCTGTCCGGCCCCACAACCTGTCCGGAGGGGGCGGGGGCGGGGATAGAGTTCTCAACAGCAAAGCGCAGGGGTCCGGAGCCTCCCTCTTCAATGTGAATTCAGGGATAGAAGGAGGGAAACCCGAGAGTGCCTTTCTCTCTGGTGGGTGGAGAGTGCCAGAAAGAAACCTTCCCTGGGGCTGTCCCCCAGAGGCTCCTTACCGTCTGTGAGTTTCCCTCCCATGCCAGGAAGGAGCCTGGAAGCCACATCCCTGGGCAGGTGACAGATAAGGGCTCTGACTCGTCCACCCTTTGCCCCTGGGGCGAGTCTGGGAGCCGTTTCCTCATCTGTAAAGCAGGGGATAGTCACGCTCGAGCCGGGCGAGTTCGGCACCTGGCGCAGAGCAAGTGTGACTTCTCATTACGTACGAACAACTGGAATTCACTCGAAGGCCGCAACCACAGCTCGGTCCCGGGAGTGCATCCAACGGCCTGCCCCCCTTGTCCTAATTAAAGGTAGCAATTCTAGCTTCGGACAACAGCGGTTCCTCGGTCTGCCCTACGACCGGCTCCCGGCCCGGCGGGCTTGTGTTCCAGTTCTGTCTTTAGGAACGAGCCACCCCTCGGACCCGGGCCTAGGACCCTTTGAAGGGAGTCATGGGTCCACGGACTCTGTGCCGGCCCATCGGGATTGGCGATTCCACGAGTGCAGGGCCAGTGGAGAGGAATTCTGGGTGTGGGGGCTCTGATCCTGACCCTGACGGGCCTCAGGCGTGGGACAGGTGGGACGCACCAGAGCTTGGGGACAGGGGTCACCAGGGCTCATGAGTCAGAGGTGGCAGTATTTGCCATTGGGTGAGCAATCCAGAAAGCGTGCTGCTGAGATTCATGTTTGCTGTGGGGTTGGTGAGCGCTGGACGTGGGCCTCCGGTGACGGAAACGTGACCTGAAGTCTCTGCTGTCCGCAGACTATTCGTCGACCACCTTCCCCATGCCGGTGCTCCCAGTGCCCGGCATTGGGCGGAGGCCTCTCCAGTTCTCCCCTTCACTCTTCGCGCGGGAAATGAGCTCCGCTTGATCCAGAGTTCACGGATGAGGGAGCTGAGGCTCAGGGAAGCGAAGAAATGGGCAGCTAGTCTTTGTGGAACTGTCAAAAACCCTCTCACTGCTCTTAGTTCAAAGTCCAAAGTCTTAGAGTGCCCTCGGGACCCCAGCAACTTCATCTTGGGCCGCTGTCCCTCGCTCTCTATACTCCAGCCACGCTAGGTTTCTGTTCTTCAAACACCCCCATCGTCTTCTGACCCCAGGGCCTTTGCACATGCTTTCCTGGATGTCTTCAAGGCTCTTTCTCCAGCCCGCCCTCATTGGGCTCATGTTGTTGCCTCCTTCAAAGCTTAGCTTGAATGCCCCTGCCTCAGAGAAGCCGCCTCTGACCCTCAGGCTTGATCAGGTCTGCTGGAAACATTCTCAAGGCCAACCTTGTCTTCTCTTTGTTTAACACTCACCACCTGGTCTTCCCTGGTTCGTAAGCCATTTCCCCCATCAGACCGTGAGCTTCCCGCAAGCCAGGACATGAGGGCCTTTGCCTTCGTCTGTTCCGGCTGCTATAACAGTGTCGGGGGCACACGGGGCCTGGACTGGGGGGGGGGGGGGGGCGGCGCTTGTAAACAGCAGACTTCCTTCTCACCATTCTGGAAGCAAGGTGCCTGGAGATTCCGCGTCTGGTGAGGGCCCACTTCCTGCTTCACAGATGGCCGTCTTCCGGCTGTATCCTCTAGTGGCTGGCAGGAGGGTGAAGGAGCTCTCTGGGGTCTCGTTTCTAAAGGCACTAATCCCATTCCCAAGGGCTCTACCCTCCTGACCTAATCACCCCAGAGGACCCCCCCCCCCCCCCCCCCGCTCCCCAACACCATCACCTCGGAGGTCAGCTTTCAACATACGAATCCGCGGGGCACACGTTCAGCCCATAGCAGCCTTGGTCATGGCGAGTGCCAGCACTTGGCACGTGGAGGGGGCTAGGCCAGTAACTCTCGCTGACGTATTCCAGGCTTTTGCCAACCCCGAGGATGCCCTGAGACACGGAGGCCTCCAGTACTGCCGGAGTGACCAGGACGTAGATCGCTGCCTCAGGCAAGTACTGTTGGGCCCCAGCCTGGCCACGGTCTGCCCCCCGAGGCTCCGCTCTGAGCACCAGGGCCAGGGGGGGCACCCAGAGGACCGAGGTCTCCTGCCTTCCGGGGCCCCTCAGATAGTTCTAATTTATTCATTGATTTCATGTCTTTCTTTCTTTTTTAAAATGTTTTCATTTATTTTTGAGAGAGAGATTGAGAGTGTGAGCCGGGGAGGGGCAGAGAGAGAGGGAGACACAGAATCGGAAGCAGGCTCCGGGCTCCGAGCCGTCGGCCCAGAGCCCGCGCGGGGCTCGAACTCACGAACCCTGAGCTCAGGACCTGAGCACAAGTCCGACGTTTAACCAGCTGAGCCGTCCAGGCAGCTGCAGTGCCTCCACCGTGGATGGGTATTCTGCCAGTGGGATGGGTGAACATTTATGCCACGTTTTGGTTTTATTTTGCATTTCTTTCGTTCGGAGTGAAGCTGAACGTCACTCCCTCTGCCGAGCAACCCCCCAGTCGATCAAAAACAATTTTTCTCATTATGGAAGTCAGAACTGCTGACGATCGCCGACGACCTGGGTCGCACTGCAAACACACGGAGGGCAAAGGGAGACCAGTCCCGACTCTAATCTCCCGCTAACCTCTAACACTGTGTTCACCCAACTCCTCTTTGTAGATGTTTCCCAGAAAATCCCGTGTGCACTGTGTGCCCAGGGTGGGGTTCTGGTATTTCTTTTTCCGTGAACGTTATTTGGTGAGCATTTTCCGTGTGGGTAAATGCTACCCAAAACCTGATTCTTTAAGAATAGCCGTGTAAAATGGGGCGCCTGGGTGGCTCCGTCGGTTGAGCGTCCGACTTCGGCTCAGGTCATGGTCTCGCGGCTCGTGAGTTCGAGCCCCGCGTCGGGCTCTGTGCTGACGGCTCGGAGCCTGGCGCCTGCTTCGGACTCTGGGTCTCCCTGCCCCCACTCTGCTCACACTCTGTCTCTCTCAAAAATAAAAATAATAAAAACATGGGAAA